GTTTCAGGATATGTTTGACACTCAAAAATCAGTTGTATTTCTATACAGTACCAATGAACAATTCGAAAATGGAATTAAGAAAATGCCATTTACAGGAGCATCAAAAGGATAAAATCCTTAGGAATAAATCTAACCAAAGAAGTGCAAGACTTGTATGTGGAAAACTATAAAACATCACTGAAAAGTAAGTGTAAAGACATTCATGGTCATGGATGGGAAGACTTAGAATTTTAAGGTGGCAACACTCTCCACACTAACCCACAGACTCGGCGCAATCCCTATAAAAGTCCCAGATGCCTTTTTTGCAGAAATTGAAAAGCTGATCCAGCAATTCACATGGAAATACAAGGGACCCAGAATACCCTGAGAAGAACAAAGTTGGAAGACTCACATTTTTTTTTTTTGAGACAGAGTCTTGCTCTGTTGTCTGGGCTAGAGTGCCATGGCGTCAGCCTAGCTCACAGCAACCTCAAACTCCTGGGCTCAAGCGATCCTCCTGCCTCAGCCTCCTGAGCAGCTGGCACTACAGGCATGCGCCACCATGCCTGGCTAGTTTTTTCTATATATTTTTAGTTGTCCAATTAATTTCTTTCTATTTTTAGTAGAGACGGGGTCTCGCTCTTGCTCAGGCTGGTTTCGAACTCCTGAGCTCAAACAATCTGCCCGCCTCGGCCTCCCAGAGAGCTAGGATTACAGGCGTGAGCCACCGCGCCTGGTGGGGTCTTGCTCTTGCTCAGGCTGGTCTCGAACTCCTGACCTTGAGTGATCTGCCCGCCACGGCCTCCCAGAGTGGACTCACATTTTCTAACTTCAAAATTTACTACATCTTGGTGAATATTAGCTACAAGATAAAAAAAAAAGAAAAAGAAAAAAAGACAAAGAAAACCTTACTACAAAGGTACAGTAATCAAGACTGTGTAGTACTAGCATAAGGACAAATAGATCAGTGGAACAGAATTTAGAGTTTAGAATTAGGCCCTTAAATATGGTCAGCTGATTTCAATAAGGATGACAAAAAAATTCAACAGGGAAACAACAGCCTTTTCAAAAAATGGTGCAGGATAACTGCATGTCCACACGCAAAAGAATGAAGTTGGAGCCCTACCTCACACATATACAAAAAAGATCAGAGACTAAAAGGTAAGCACTAAAACCACAAAACTCTTAGAAGAAAACAAAGGTGTAAATCTTCACGACCTTTGATTAGGCAGTAGTTTCTTAGCTATGACACGAAAAGCACAATCAAAGAAAAAATAAACTGGACTTCGTCAAAATTAAAAACTTTTGTACTTCCAAGGACACTATCAGTAAAGTGAAAAGACAATCTATATAATGGGAGCAAATATTTGCAAGTGATAATATTGATAAGAAACTAGTTTCTAGAATATATAAAAACGTATTATAACTCAACAATAAAAAGACAAATGACCCAATGAAAAAGTAGGCAAAGGATCTGAATAGATATTTCTCCAAAGAGGATATAAAAATACCCAATAAGCACATGAAAAGATGCTCAACATCCCTGCTTGTTAGGGAAATACCAATCAAAACCACAACGGAATACTGCTTCACACCCACTAGGAAGGCTATAAAACAACAACAACAATATGGACAATAACAAGTGTTGGCAAAGATGTGGAGAAACTGGAACCCTCAAGTGCTGCTGCTGGGAATGTAAAATGATGCAGGTGCTGTGGAAAAGTTTGTCAGTTCCTCACAAAGCTAAACAGAATTACCACGTGGGCCTTTAATTCTACTCTCAGGCATACACCCAAGAGACATGGAAACATATGTTTACCCAAAAACTCACATATAAATGTTCACGGCAGCATTATTGATAACTAAAAAGTAAAAATAACCCAAATGTCCATCCTCTAATGAATAGATAAACAAAATGTGGGCTATATCTATTCAACAGAATATTATTTAGGAATAAAAAGGAATGAAGAGGGCCAGGCACGGTGGCTCAACGCCTGTAATCCTACACTCTGGAAGACTGAGGTGGGAGGATGGCTTGAGGCCAGGAGTTTGAGACCAGCCTGAGGCAGAGCAAGACTCCATCTCTATAAAAAATTAGCCAGACGGTGGTGTGGGTCTATAGTCCCAGCTACTCAGGAGGTTGGGGCAGGAGGATCGCTTGAGCCCAGGAGTTCGAGGTTGTAGTGAGCTATGATGATGGCACTATATTCTAGCCTGAGTGACAGAGCAAGACTCTGTCTCCAAAAAAAAAGGAATGAAGCACTGACACATGCTACAACATGTAGGAATCTTGAAAATATGCTAAGTAAAAGAAGCCAGACATAAAAGGCCACATGTTATCTGAGCCCATTTATCTGAAATGCCCAAATCTATAAGAGACAGAAAGCAGATTAGTGGTTGCCAGCGGCTAGGGAGAGGGAGAAATGGGGAACGCCTGCTAATGGGCAGGGGTTTCTTTTTGGGATGACCAAAGTGTTGTGGAATTAGATAGTGTGATGGTCATCCAACCTGGTGAATACACTAAAACCAATGGAATTATATACTTCAAAAAGGTGAGTTTTATGATATGTCAGAATTAAATCTCAAATTAAGAAAAAAACTTTGATTATATTCTGCCTAGAAAGTAGGCTCAGCAGGGCCTGGAGTTCTTTGTAGGGAGAATTTGAAGACTGCTGAGTTCTGTCCTGGTGGTGCTCTCCAGTAACCGTGAAGTGCCAGCAGAACAGTACAGCCTCCCCCGGATCATAAACTCCATGGACACAGCTTTCAAAACGGGCCTGCCCCAACCCAGGTAATCTGAAGGGTGGGAGAGGTAGAAATCCTTTTGGAACCTTCCCATTTCTTGATGTTACCTGCATGGAATTTATGGTTGAGGTGGGGCTACTCTGTTCCATGTATCCTCTTGTTAGTTTCTCTTTTGATATTGTTTATGGGTAGGCTAGGACAATAGGAGGAAGAGGGTATGTAATTTCAGGAAGCCTACTGTTTATCTCCTGGGAAATGTTGAACTTGGACATGTTACTCTCTTTTGTTTTCATGACATTTTGTAATTTACAACATGAATTCTGGCATGAATCTCATCTGCTATGAACCTGACCCCTACCTTGTGAGGTGGGCCGTTTACAAATGAATAAACTAAGGGCTTGAGGGTGAATGGACAAGCAGGATCCCACAGTGAGTCACCAACAGGACAGAAGCTGATTCCAGTCTTCCTACAAGCGGTTGCCACTTTTCCCACAGTACCAGGCAGCTTAAGAGAAGAGCTGCCTCCTGATTTTTTGAACTAAAAGAGGAGGACAGACGAGAAGGCCCATGGTGAAGGGCCCCCGACCTGTGTGAGAAGAAGATGCCTCTGCGCAGGAAGCGGTGTGGTTTCTGGCCAGTGGCTCTCTGTATTCGGTTTATCAGCTCTTTGTCAATTTTACTGCTTCCAAATCGAACTGGAAAAAAATTGGAAAAAATAAGGGATGACTTTTTTAGGTGGCAGGAGGTTTAGTGACCAGATATTACTGAAATAAAGGGGAAAAATGAGTCACCCATGCACAATCTTAATGAATCCAACCTCTTTAAGTGTTCTGCTACAGATCCTTTCCCCCAACACAAAGTAAAAGGTCTTTTGTATTAAATGACACAACCAGCAAAACAGGAACTAAATTACAGAACAAAGTGCTGTTTTGCCTGAGATTGGATTCTGATGGGAAACATACCCAGAATGCAGGCTAGCTATCAATTTTTTTTTTTTTTTTTTGAGACAGAGTCTCAGTCTGTTGCTGGGGCTAGAGTGCCGTGGCGTCAGCCTAACTCACAGCAACCTCAAACTCCTGGGCTCAAGCAATCCTTCTGCCTCAGCCTCCCAGTAGCTGGGACTACAGGCACGCGCCACCATGCCCAGCTAATTTTTTCTATATATTTTTAGTTGTCCAGATAATTTCTTTCTATTTTTAGTAGAGACGGTGTCTCTCTCTTGCTCAGGCTGGTCTCGAACTCCTGAGCTCAAACAATCCACCCCGCCTCGGCCTCCCAGAGTGCTAGGATTACAGGCGTGAGCCACCGCGCCCGGCCCACATTATTTATTGAACTCAATTAATGTTTGTCCTCAAGTGAATTTTCCCTCGTTGATAGCCTATACTCAAATCATGAAAAATAGCCTTGGCTTAGATAAACATTTTAGTTCTGTTTCTTCCTTGACAATTAGCAATGATCTCAATCCAATGGCAATGGTATTTCCTGAGCAGGAACACCCTCCAGGAAGGGCTTAACAGTGAGGACTTGCCACTTGTGAGAAGCCACGCTTCTTAAGCTGACCTCCAGGCTTCTGGCTCTATAATCGACATCACTGGAGGCAAAACTCAGTGATCTGTGATTGACTTGTAACCACTAAGTGGTTTAAATGACTGCAAAGCTACCCATTTCAGTAGCCCTTTCCTAAGTTCTTAATTGCTCAAAAAAAGGAAAAAAGCTTCTACTAAGCTGTCTACTATAGATCACTGTTTTGAAATAAATTTTATATTGTTACTTTATTTTGAAATAATTCTTTGGGAATATAATGCACAAACAAAAGATTTTAGGATCTATTTTTTTCTTGGCATTGAAGGTTCACTGGATTTATGATTGATTCAAAATTTAAAAATGTCCATAGAATCACTTCTAAAAGGTGAGGCTTTTTTTGGGGAAGAGAGCAGAGGACATACCAATGAGCTTGTCGTAGTCGATGCCTTTTGCGCTGCTTGTCTGTACTGTCCACGGGTCCACGAAATCCTCTTCGGCTTCTGTGGGATCCGAGACACAGTTACTCTCAGACATTGGGTTCCTCGGAGGGCAGTCAGCCTTATAATCCTCCCCCATGGCAGCTTTGTAGCTCATTTTTAAGGACAGCAACATCTTCACTGCAGCATCAATTTCATCCTGCACAAAGGAAATAAAAGTGAAGGCTAAAAATATTAACAATAGCTAACATTTGCTGAGTGCCTCCTGTGTGGAAAGCATTGTGCTAAATGCTTTCACACACGTTACCTTGTTTAGTCTCCCAATAACCCTGTGAAGCAGCAGGCATCATTGTCACTCACTGTCCTTTTCTAGCTGAAGAATTTGAGACTCAGAGAGGTGAAGGAGCTTGCCCACAGAAATCACAGAAATCACGGGCTTGAAAGTATTTTGTTTATATCTGTTGTTTTAGTGCTATGGATTACTACCACAAACACTTTGGAACAGTAATAGTGATACGATATTCACTGTCATTTATGACGAGGTTAAATATGCTAAATATTTCTCAAACACCACTGATGCTGGAGCACATGCCTGACAAACTCCTTTAATCGAGTATACTGAGTTCTGCGCTGGAACTAGTTTTTACATTCCAAGCAGGTTGAGATGAGTATGTACTGAAACTTAACCAATGATGCCACCAAGGACAGTAACAGCAACTCAAACAGATAAAAGCAAGGGAAAAAAAAGCCAGGTAATAAATTAAGGAGGGATTCATTAGAAAACAGTTATACCACCACCACATTTTAGGAATCTTATCAAGCTATCTGAAGTGTTGGTATATTTATCAT